ATGTTGTGGTGATGGAAACCCCTTCATATAACTCCAAGTAGTAACCTTAGGAGCAGCCAAGACAGGATCTCCAAGCTTCCTACTTAATCCCACACAAAATGACGATTGAGGATCACCGCCAGGAAATGTTCAAGGACACATGAGACGGGCCATTAGGCATGAGCATTTCGATTCTGCTCCATTCCTTTGGCCTCCGTCCCCCTGTTCTCCCAGCCTGAGGTTCTTCACTCTCCAGCGGAGTACTGTTGTGACATCGCTCACATAAAAATCATGTCATCTCCTCTCTATTCAGAGTGTCCCCTCAGGTTAATGCATAGTAAAAAGAGAAAAGTGTGCCACCCTTTCAACCCCTACAGTCATTACCGGTGCTTTCAGCTGGCATGCCTCATCATCTCCCATTAAAAAAAAACTGCTGTGTCAAAGATATAAAGAGAACATCTGTGCTATTTCCAGCATCTTGCCCTTTATAATAACCCTTGTGTGAGAATTGAAAATTAGGGCAAATGCCCCGCTTCTGATGATTCATCATGATAAATCACGTCATGTTAATTTATTGGGACTGACGTAAAACCTGAGCTGAATGAGTCGAGCTTTTCATGCATGAAACGATCCCCTGCAAGATGTTATTCATTGTGTGGAGTACATTACGCTCATGATTTACATGTGGATCCCCTTTAAAGTGATTGAGCAGCAATCAAAAATCCTGATTGCCTATTCACCGTCGCCTCCAGGCGAAGCTTCTCGGGCTCCATCTTTTTGTCTCCGGCCTCACTTGCTCACGAAGACAGCCTAACTTGACTCCCCCTAACCAAAAGCAGCTGGCCGCAGCGGCTACCTGGAAGTCTGCTTAGCTTTACCTAGCACTCAGTAATTACATGGCCATTAGGGCACCTCCCAGCACCAAACCACACAGAGGGCTTAATTCAAAAGCTGTCGGTGATTAATTACCAGTTGCCCACCGAGTTGAGGATATCTGAGGAGATTGGCACAACTGTAACTGTATCAGGCCACTGGGATTACACACTTTGTGAGGCGGAAAAGGGGGAGCATAACCCAGCTTGGCTACACAGAGTTGAACAGAAGTGACTAGATTGAGAAAGTCGTGTGTGTGTGTGTGTGTGTGTGTGTGTGTGTGTGTGTGTGTGTGTGTGTGTGTGTGTGTGTGTGTGTGTGTGTGTCGTTTTGCCTCTGGTGAAGTGAACCAAATCTGGACTTGACAAAGCAAGAAAAACAGATATTACTGCATCTGCTTACGATTTTATTTTGAAATCTTAAGACACACCATCCAGCTGAAGTGACCCCCAGCTGCCCCCTTGTCCTTGACAACCAGTATTGGGTGTTTAGTGGGGGAAAACATAGTCCAGCACATTACAAGCTGTATATTGCCGTTTTCTCCAGGGCACGTCAGCTGGTGTTTAGCTGCCAGACTTTTTGAAGCGTTAACTTCAAGAAATGCTGCAGAGTGGGAAAAGGGGATGTATGGGAGAGGGGTGGTGGGGTGGGGTGGGGGGTGTATGGGTGAGTAAACAGGGAAAGAGCAAAGCACCAGTGCTTGCTGAATGCACATTTTATTATAGTCCCATTAAACAACAGGCCCTGCTTGGAATGCAGATCCCAGGGGAGGAGAAGGTACATGAAAAAAAAAAAATGAAAAAGACAAACAGCCCGCCAATGCTGAAACAATTATTAGAAGGAGACTCGCTTCACAGAGTGGCACACCGAGGGGGTGTGACTGTAGACGGTTTCACATCAAGTTGGTTTGACAGGTTTTTCTTATCCCCTAGACCCAAGACTATTTCCACTAAATGCATGGTGTGAAAACAGCTTTTCAAACCCAATGTGCAGTCCAGAAAAACTGACAAGGGATTAACATGAAAATGGTGGTGTGTGTCCCTATTAAATTCAATAGATGAAATACACACACAGACACACACACACACACACACACACAAGTCTGCAGCTCTGTGAGGCTGTACTTAAGTAGGCACAACAGCACTTTGAGGTAAATGCTACATGCTCACAGTGACATCGCAATGAACACGATGTAATGCAGAAGCCGGTGGGAAAGTCGTTGTATTTTCTTCTGTATTTGGTCATTAGCAAAAATACTTGGTACATTGTGACCTGATGGTAAACCATACACTAAGACTTCACTCCGAAACACAGAGCTCAATCTCATGGCGGCACGAGGGGATGACAAAAGTTATCGGTGAAGGATCTATTGGATCCATCCTATAGCTGCTCAGACATGTCACTAAAAAAAAAAAAACAAGTGTCAACCTGCTGGTGTCGCTAGAGGATAATTTAAGGGAGCACCACAGTCAATAAAAATCTCATGACAATCCATCCAACATTGCACCCTGGACCAAAGTGATGGGCCGTCTACATTGCCGTCCAAGTCTCAGGCGATGAGCCGCATTATCAGCCTCACTGTGAAAAAAAGCCTTCAGTCACACAGAAGCTAATAACTGAGTCCTGAGTGAAGGCGATAACAGACAGTGTGAGAATGAAAAATGGCACCAGCAAAAACTTCACTTCCATTTAACTAAGAAGTACATGAGCGTGAATAAAATACGCTTTAAGTTCACGACAGACTTCCTCTGATAAAGATGGCACAAACTCCCTCTGATTCAGGAGCAACCTATAAAATATCCCCAAGCTATGGACCATTGCTCTGTCTATGCAACCACTCCATCTTCTTTGACAGCAATAAAGTGAAGACTGTGAAAAGCACATTATAGTCCTCCCCTCAAAAAGAAAAAAAAAAAAAAGCCACATCTGAGCCACAGGCTGTCTTTTAGACAGAGGAGGGGATAAATATTGAGGGAACCCATTCAGCATTCATAAAGTATAAAGATATTTGGCCTGAAAACACCCACTACAGAGCATTAACGTTGCATGGCACAATACACTTACACTGCATGAGCATTACATTATCAAATACACTCCAGATTCTTCAAAGTATTATTATGATTTATGTGTTTTGTATGTAACTATAGTTCAATAAGAAATGGATAAATAGTGGACATGAAGAAAAATGTAATCAGATTTGAGAGGCTGACTAGTTGCCAGTTTCCGAGCTCGAGCTCGGTGCCGCCTTGGTTCGGGTTTTAGTGTCGCCGTGCTTCATCTGATGTGAAATGTTTTCGTTGTTTTATTTCTGCCCGTAACAGAAATGTGTCAGAAGGGAAAAAGGGAAAAAGCAGCAGACACATGATAGGGATTGAGAACAGAGAGCAGCGTGATTGTGAGAGTCTCATTATGGTTAATACTTCCAGTACTTCTGGCTCATTAATTCAGGCCTTTTCACTCAGCAGATGACTCATTCGTAATTGATAAACCACTTGAGAAAACTAAAGAAATTGTGCCGTTCATTCATGATTATCACTTTCACTGGTCTTGCTTCTTCTTTCATCTGTTTGATTGTAAGATGTAATAATCTGTCAGTGTATGTATCCATGAGGGGGATTTTTTTTCTTTCCCTAATTTCCCTCCAACAGAGGTCAGAGGTCAACGGCAGAAGACTCCCTGGCTTCGGTTGGGATTCAGCATCTTGCTCAAGGACGCATCGGCCCTGTGGCGCAGATGCTTGCTGACTGACACCTGGATTGTCCATCTAAAGAGATCCAACCACAAGGCTACTCTGCTCTATGTCACAACTACGGCTTTTCCAGAGAGGTCACCTACACCGTGTTCACACCGCCTGGATCACATTCCCAGCTGCGGTTGACTGAAGCTGCAGCGCGGGCAGATCCCTCTTTAATCACACTTTGAAAAAGTTGTGAAATACATGTCATTTCCAAGAGAGCAGTCTTCATTCTGATTTCAAGGACTCATTTTGTCTCAAGGGGCTGAGGATCCTGACTGACAAAAGCTTCGGAATTCTGGAAGCTGATTGGCGGCAAAACCTGTCGACACTATTTGAGTTCTTAAAATATTTTACATTTAGATATGAAACAGTGGAAAAGACTTTGAGCAGATGATTGAAATCTACACGTCTGGTGGCATCCTAAAGAAATTCACACATGAACTGGCATGTCGTTGCTGTCCTGTGAAAACCATGCATCTCCGCTTTTTATGAGCAGAGAAAACCAGCCCCAGTTAAAGCTATGTGACAATACATTGCTCAGATGATCCAGTGGATTTTTATATGGTTTATTTAGCTCACACGGGAGGAGAATTTTCTCAACACATTAAAGAACAATTCATCCTTCAAATTTTTATTTTTTTTATTTTTATTTTTTTATTTGAAACAAAACAAATTCATTCAACAAAACTGGAGATACCTGGTTTTCAATCAACAGCCATGATATGCTTTTCCTCTGACCTGCACCGTCAACACACAGCTGTCGATCACATGATTCATTTTTTCCCCTCCAGTTATTCACAATAGTGACGACCATGGCAACATTTAAAAGTCAGAGAAGATGTGATCCTACAGTTCAGATTCTGCAGCATCCCTCTTACATCCTAGAGCGCCGTCTCCCACACTGATGCACAGACTAACCCAACCTTGACTCCATCCCAAAATGATCAGAATGCTGACCCACACTGAAGGAATAAATGTTTCCATCTACTGGTGGGAAATGTGAATTTCATGTGGCTTTTTTTCCCCCCTTCAGTGGACAGGCAACATCACAAGTCAAACCTCTCAGCACCTCTATGTATAGACCACTGTTAAATACCTTTCTTTCTGTTAAGCTTAATGGCCATTCAGCTGTCTGCATCCTTCACAGCAGAACTGCCCCAAACTATCAACACCATCCAGGCAAACTGTCATGTGTCATCAGTTTATTTCAATGAAATAAACTCAGGACCTGTTCAGAAAGATCTCCTTCCTTCTCACATCAACTCTGGTCTGAGTGAAGCAGCTTCAAGTCCAGTGTCACACACACACACACACACACACACACACACACACACACACACACACACACACACACACACACACACACACACACACACACACACACCGCATTGGGAAAAGTAGTTTGGTTTACCTGGAGGGCAGTTGCATTCAGGTGACGTCTGTCTGGCAGTCCGAATCTTGACAAAATTTTCATAGGAGCGCTGAAATTTTAAAACAATGCTTTTTTAAATTAATCTGCACGTGATGATTTCAGTGACAATAAATTATTTGGGGGAAAATTGCGTGGCTGTTTACTGAAATAGTGTCAGTTCGTGGGCAGTTAAGCGGCTGAAAACAATTAACTCATGGAGAGCAAGTGCAAGAGGCAGTCTTACCTGCGAGAGCAGCTCATCCACTCTTTGTTGGATCAATGAATTAAAATCATCCAGGGAGTAGCCAGGGGCACGGATGAACGGGTGCTCGCCATTCCCACTCTCCAAATCCACAACCCGGTTCTTAATGTCAGCTGTGTTAATGCTCAGAAGAATGCAAAAGGCGATGGACGCCACTGAACATAAAGACGAGATTATGTTCAGCACTGTTGTGCGACAGTATTGTCGCTTCTGAGGCGCCACTTTCTCCATTTTTTCCACGCACTTTGATGCTCCTCTTGCCTCCGCGATCTCCATTTAACTAGAACTACACGCGCGGTTGGGAGCAAACTGCATCTGGCGCGGAGTCACGAATTTATGGCACACTGTTCTCTCTCTCTGTGTATGTGTGCGTGCGTGCGTGTGTGTGCCTGCCTGCCTGCCTGCGACGCGGCGTTCACGTACAGTGACTTTGTGGTGACAGCGACAGATAGACGAGTGGAGCCCCACTCCGCTCCAGCTAAAGCAAATGAACCTGTCTGACGGCGCGTCAGTGCTCCTGCAAACTTGTTGCACAGAACCTTGCACAGTAGTCTAGTGCAGAGGAAAACGCTATTATGCACAATAAAGTAGAAAGAGAGGCTGGGGAGGTAGAAGGCAGCGCGCATGTAGTGAAGGCAGCATTACCACTCAGAGCTTTTCCACGGTGCAGGCACGCTCCCCCTCATTACAGCAACAAACACGCCTCCAATCTGTCCTGACTGATTAACATAATTTATTGGCCCGCTCCTTTCGCTCTCCTACACTCGAGTACTATTGCCATTAGTTGACATTAAGAGAAATTATTGTACTCCTGTGAGATCTCCAGCTTTGCAACCACAGAACGCTGCGTAAAGAGGCAATTAGCCTTTTTGCTGCATTTTGTAAATGCACGGTTCAGAGTGAGGGCACTATAAAACAACAATCACGTTTTAGATGATTAATGACTCATGGTTCTGTTATTTGTTTAAAATTAAACATTAACATTTACTGCAACCGCTGTATGGCAACGTTAACATATTGTTTTTTTGTCCATGGCGCTGCGTAAATACGCATGAAAATCTTAAATGTTCGCGGGGTTAGTTGAGCAAAGGTGCTGAATAAACTGTCAGACTATGAGAAAAGAGTATATCTTATTGATTGACTGCTTTCTATAGACCTCATGTGGAGAGAAGAAAGCCACAAAGCCCAACAGCGCTCAGACAGAGATGCGCCTGTGGCGTCGAGTGAACCCCAGTCTGTCTCCCTTCTGGACTGTTTGATGCATTGAGTTGTGATTAGATTTTAGTTCGTATCTATTTCGTGAATTTATTTATTTAGCAGACAGTGCGCACAAACCACGAATAACATGAAAACCGGAAATGTGGATGACTATTTCACGTTAGAGAAGGCGATTCCTCTAAAATTCCTGCAGGGTTTCGATTTAAAATAATGGGAATGCTGAGGTGAAAAATGATTCCAAACATTTTTTTTTTTGCACGATAGAGCAGTTTGCTTGAATGGCACAATGATAATCCCATGTATTCACTGGGTTTTGGCACCACCGTCTGTCTTACATCAGCATCAATACAAGCGTTGTCTCTGATGCTTTAATTCTGGAGGCTGCAATATAAAGTTGATGCGCATAGCGCTGCTCCAAGTTTGAGGTACTTTTAAACTATATTCAATCAGCAGCAATAACATCACATCTGTCTTCCTCCACGGTTCACTCGCTTCAAGAGACCAAGATCTATTCTGAGTGATTTGAATGACACTGAATAAAGAAGTCGGTTTTTCATATGCAGTCAGAAATTCTTAATGGAAAACGAATTCAAATATCCATAAACCTCCCCTGACTCCTGACTTCTTATTCCGAGATTCCTCTTTCCAGCCTTTTTGCATTTTAATGCTCCTCTTTGAAAATACGTCTCCACCGCTCCAAATGAATGGGTGGAGTCCAGAGGCACAACTGCACGCAGTGTCTGAGGTATCCACTGTGGATGTGACTTACCATTCATCAGAGCGGTTTCTGTCTCTTTTATTTCCCTAAAATAATCACGTATATTCTACATTAATCTGATTTATAGATTAGTTCTTTGGCTCTTTTTTTTTTTTTTATAAAATAGGACATTAAAACCTCCCTGGCCAATTAAACCACTGCTACAGGAAATGTGTATTTCTCGTGTGCAGAGATGTTCTGATGTGTCACATCCAGTGGAAGAAAATATCCGCACACATCCATTAGAGATAATATATTGCTATAACTGCTGTCACACACTGTCAATATCAAATTAACATAAGCAAACCTAAAGCATTGTAGTTTGCAATGACAGCAAGGCACTGAATCCGTTGTTTTGCTGCAGTGCCAAACTAAGACCAAAATGAGGCAAAACCCAAGATACTTTAAAGGCCAGGTTCATTATTTTACCTGATTCGGTCTCTTCAGGTAAAAAGACTGCTTGACTGGCATCTCCCTCACTCTCCTGTCAACTCCTCTGCACCTGTTTGGACGGGACAAATTACCCTTTTATTATTTTTATTGGTAGATATGACCTCATGCAATTCCCAGTCTGCTGAGCCAGAGGAAGTGAAATGAGCCAGAATTCCCCCTACAACTGAAAATCATTGCAGGTCTCTGGTCTAAATAAGCACTGGCTCAGAGACCCTCTTACACTGCAAACAGAACATTCACTACATATTTAATGATATGCCTAATAATTAGATTAACCAAAGAATAATGAATATCAACAGGCTACAAAATACTGGTCATAGTCTGTATCAGCCTCTTCCTCTCATGTCACATCTGTTCTGGTTTTATGCTGCTGTATAAGCTTTGTGCAAATAAAAAAAACAGCCTAAGAACTTGTAAATTATGAAATAAATACCATAGTTAATTCTAATCTAACACCAGATTGCAAGCAGCAGACACCGAAGCAAAATAAATTGTCATGTGGACCTAATGTGGACCCTTTTTTTAAAAGCTTTGAACGCCATCTAGTGGACAAACACAGCAATGCCCTTGACCTATTGATCCAACAGACCATAATTTAACACCTGTGAGTGGAAGAATCCCCATGACTACATCTGTGTGTGTGAAACCTAGCGGAAGGTCACAAGGTCACAACTCCCTTGACTCCCCGTTGTGTGTGTTTGTGTGTGTGTGTGTGTGTGTGTGTGTGTGTGTAGGCTGACAGTCCCCCACCCCTTCTCTCTCTCTCCCTCTCTCTCTCTTTATTTTTGGACATGACCACAAAGTAACAGATGGAGTCCTGCGACCAAGTCACGTTGCCAAGTCAAACTGCACTTTGCATATTCAGCAAATAAAATTAAAAAATTTAACATAATCAGGCATTGGCTTAACAATCTAACAATGCAGCTAATAATGACACTTTCAAAAGTGGCCGCTCCACTTCGTGTGACATCCCTACTGGAGTTTTGGAATCTTCTTTACGCGCCAAAAAAGCGCATCATCACGAGCCGCGTCTTCGCCTTGACAACGGCCTGCATCTGAGAATAATTCACTCGTGTTTATTTTTAGAAGCTGTCGGGCCGCTGCGTGCTACTCTCCTTCAACACACACCCCACGTCCCTCCGGTCAATAATTCATGCGCTGTAGGCCTGCAGCGAGGAGCCAGGGAGCAGGCTGAGCCGATGGACGTACAAACAAAACGCGCTGGGTGCACCCCCGGACGAGGGGTGCAGCCCAAAGCTGTGAGGCAGCAGAGTACGCAACATAAGGGCGGTCAACAAGCCACAGCAATGAGGTGAGCTGATCTCTTGCTAATGGTTTCTTGATGGGATGGTTGTTTTTTCTTTTTTTTTTTGGATGGGCTTTCCAAGACAAAAACACAAAATACCAGAGACCTGCTTGTGCTTTGTTGTGTGTTTTTTTTTAATTTGACATTATTTTCAATGGAATCATGTGAGCTGTAGTTACAGTAAGTGTCTGCTGTGCATGTCTGCAGATATGTGTGATCAGGGTTACTCCTGCAGAGGTTATGTTATAGATTGTCAACTCTGTCAATAAATGTTAATAAAAAAAATATGATTACAACACCTGCTGTATTCATATTGTTTTATCTATCCATATATTTGATTGTCTTTGTGGAAAGGTAAAAAGGTGCTAAGTTCTAAGACTTAAAAAGCACTTGAAATATTGTTGAACATGCTGTCACTTGACAATGTTTTATAGTTCAGTTTCATTTCAATTTTTTTTTAACAACCTGTGTATTGATCAGAATCACAATCAGAAAACTGCTTTGTTACAATTGCTCAACAAGCAGTGAGGAAACTACTCTGAAATAGTAATGATAATAGATAAAATGCACCGTACATGAATACAAATGTGCAAGAAGTAATTTGAGATGTAGGTAAAGTCATTTAACTGTAAATGAACCTTAATGTGCAAAGGTAAAGTGAATGAAAAGTGAAATGTGGGTCAGCAGTAAACTAACAGCAGTATGCTGATGGAGCTGTGCAGCAGTAAGTGATTTACAGTCATTTAAACTACGTTAGCATTGGTGGCTGTGGATTGTGAAAGCTGCAAAAATTGTTTAACTACAGCAGACTGCTGAGGAATTGTTTATCCGAATAGCCACAGGAAGGAAGGAGGTAATTGCCTTGTTGAAATGGTAATTTAACTTATATGCTATGCTATATAAATTTGCCTTGATGTCCAGGAAGCTTTACGGCCCGCAGAGAGCCCAGACACGGGCCTCCATGACCACAGAGTACCAAGAGAGGTTCCTCCCCCCCCGCTGCCACACAACTATTGTCACGACCTCAACACAGAAAAACCCTTACCACTCACTGAAGGGGACCAGTGCCGACATGACCACTTTTAGGTAAGTTCTTTGTCTGTCACTAGATACATGTTTTTGAAGGTGTGGAGTGTGATGTATGGAGGAATATTGGGGTATGACGTGTTTTGAATCCCTGTAGAAGAATAAACCAGACACTGTAAGCTACAATATTTGTGAGTTCAACAAATTTCACATCATAAGTGTGTGCGTTTCAGGTCATTCTTTGTTACCCACAAATGGATGAAAAACCCACCAAAGGCCCCACAGCCATCTTTGCCACCCAAAGGCCAACGGAGATGCAGCAGCGCTCCGCACAATCATACTTGCTCTGTAGCAAACCAGCTGGAATCCAAGGTGGTGGACTACACTTCAGTGTACAAAAGTAAGCGACTTAAGGATCATATTGGAGACATACATTGCAGAAATATAAAGCAACAAATGTATACGTTCTGATTCAAATCCACTCTCACTGTATTTTCAGATGATTTCCAAGCATGGAAAGCTAACCAGCGTCAGCCATACAGGCTGCACGACAACTTGAAAGTCGACCAAGGATTAGTTGTCACAAAAAGTGCTCACAAAGGTCCCTCCGAGAAAAATTCTGTTCAGGTGGATGCAAACTCCAAACCAGTGGAACAGGAGGAAGGACCAAAACCATTTGAAAGGACCACCAGCTACAAATCTGACTACATCACCCATCCAATGCCACCCAGGACATGCAGGAAGAAGCCTGTGAACCAAAGCAACAAAGGTCTTCTGGCTGAGCACACAGAGTCCTTCGGGCCAAACTTGGCTTGGCATATGAACCAGGAAGTTTTTAATGAAGCCAGCGAATTCTTTCAGCAATTTAAGACCTGGTCTCTTGAAACCAAGTTCTGCGGCCAAGGTAAAGCCAAAGTGTCCAGTCCACCAGCAGGTCACAACGTGTTTCTCTCCACAACACACGCAGACTACACACCGCACGAGTGCCAGCGCACCAAGCCAATCCTGCCATCTGTGCAAAACAGTGAGAAAAGCAAGGAGCCATTTCCTTCAGTGACAACCATGAAGGAGGATTACAAAGCTTGGAGCACACCGCGACGCCTGCCCATTGTCCGCAAAGCAGAGATGGAATGGCCCATGAAAACCCCAATTTCAGTGTGCACACCTAAACCGTCTGAGACCTGCAAAACAAACCCGAAACCCTGCAGCCCCCATCCCAAACTGAACGAGCCTGCTGTCTGTAATTCCAGCTGTAACACCACAGAGAAACCTCAATTTCCTGCTGAGAATGGAGGGTTTTCCGGCTTCGGATGCATTTCCACGGGGCCTGAAGAATCCAGGATGTACTGGTCCACCTCTTTTGACAGAGGAGCGCCTTGGCCTGATGGTGACACTTGTGATGACCCATCTCAGCCCCACGAAACAATAAGCTGCATGGTTTCTAACAGAAGCTAAGGCTTCCTAGAGACCAAGCCACTGACGGGGCGTGGTGCTGCCACACTTTACCTCAGGTAGTTTCTACCTTTACACCAATAAAAGCCATAAATGGAACTGAGATTATGTAATGGCAGCTATTTTTACACTACTACTCATCTCACGTTGAGTGTTACGTAATCTACAAAACTGAAGGCAACTCATATTCATTTTTTTTTTTAATAAGTTAAACAGCTAAATATAGCATGCGAAATAACAGTTAAACATACATCCTCTAGTTAATTGTGTGTAAACACTTTTGCAACTAAAACAGCTGCTAGTCAGTAACTTGGAAGAGGGTGTTAAACTGTTGCTGCTTGTTAAACTGCTTAACATTTCAACTGGGGTGAACCGTCCATTTAAATCATAATTATCATATAGTATTATTTAAGACTGAATGCATTAAGGTAGATGTATTTCACTGCTGCTCATTTATTCTGTTTTGAAAAGCATTTTTACTTTGACACAAACTTCATGAGAAGCACAACTGTGTTTTAGATATATAACAAGAAACACTGTTCTCATCAAATAATGAAATTTTATTTAAAAAAAAAAAACAAACAAAGAGGCAAATGTAATTCATAAGGAATTATTCTTGACTGGGAGAACTTTCAAAACAGTTATATTTACATCATATACAGAATTTTCTCTTAAAAAAAAAAAAAAAAGGGTATCAATTAAAAAAAAAGTTAATATGCATAGCAGCGTTCCACGATATCTTGCGGGCTCCAGTGCAAACAAAAAACAAGGGGATATTTCAACTAATTTACTTCTTTCAGTTCTCTTCCAGCTAAATACACATTAAAAACAACTATCCCCTTCAAATCACATCCTGTGAAATCTACAGATTTAAGCATGTAATGTTGTAAAAAAAAAAAATATATATATATATATATAGTTTCAGCAGGTGTCAGTCTTCTTGAAAACGGATGTGCTTATTAGCCTCCTTGGCTCGCGCAATGATGATTTTTTCTGCTTTGGATATGAGCTGAAGTGTGAAGAAAATAAGAAACTACATGTGATAGCACATAAACAAAATAGAGGCACAATTTAAAATGTAGTGTTGTATCTGACTCTGTGTTCATATGCCAAAATTGTCCCAGATAGACTGATCCAATAAGCTGATTACAAAATATGCAATTTCAATCACAAATGTGTCTTTTTTTGCACACTTTGAATATCACCATATATAACAGTGTGTATGAAGTGTTATTATATGTCTGTCAATAAAACGCACCAAATACCAAATTATTTGGATTTCTCATAATTTAAGGGATTATTCAACTTTCTATAAACAGCCTCCTGTACATTGTTTACGTACTAAAAATGGAATAACTGATCAACAATTTATTATTGTACAAAATAACCTGTATGTATATGTATTTTTCTTTTTATAAATTTAAAGGGTGATCTCACCTTCTCGGTGCCGCGCTTCTTTTCTCTGGGACGATTCAACTTGACCTGGCGGTCGACTAGGATCTTCTGCCAGTACCTTTGCTCATGGTCACCTTTCAAAGGAATTAAACACAGACTCTAATGTTAAAAAGATTTTTTTCTGACTTAAAGTTCATTCAAAAATAATTGTTGAGCGAAGTTCAACTATGAACTATTAAAAACACAGAACTTGAGACAAGCAGATAGTCTGTCTCAATAAGTCATTCTCTCCATCATCAATTATGGAAACCAGTGTGCCAGCTCAGTCATCCATGTCCTCAGCTCATTTAGACCACAGGTATGTTTGCATGTGGTCTGCACAGGAGTGCAGTACACACAAAATAAAATGTCACCTTGATGTGTAGACATAAAAAGTCATACCTGACAGAATTTCAAGCTTCCAGCTGTGCTCTTTCTGTATCTCTGCTCTGGCGTCATTAACGGCTTTAGCTTCCTCTGGGTTGTGAAAACGGATGTGACCCTCAGCATCTCCATCCAAGATGTCAATGTACGCCACTGGTGATATTTTGCACAAGGCATCCTACAGACACACAGACACAGACACACACACACACACACACACACAAAGTAAGAAAAAAAGACCTGAGCTTTAATCCACTAGGGGGATCGTCCTTTTTTAATGACTTTGATAACTGCACCAAATACAGAAGATAATGGTAATTGCCAGTAAAACTGATGAGTGCATTGAGTTATACTGTACTTTGATGAACTTTCTCCCTGGTAGCGGCTTGTTGTCTGTGATCTTCAGGATGACACCACTGGTAAACTGAGGGCCCTGGTTAGTTGCTTTTTCACTCTTGTTACTCTTCTCTAGATGAAAGAAAAGAGACCTATATTTCAATATAGGTTTATCTGATTTTGGCAGCTTGTAACTATTAAGTCTGATTTGATATTTTTGGAGAAATACTGTGATGTCAATACCGTTTGACTGTCCGAATGACATTTTACAATTGAAATGAACCAAATGTGTGAAAGCTTAAAAAAAAAAAAAAACCCAACTGTTCTAACTTGTTCACAAGGAACTCAATTTTTGCTAAAGGTCAAAGAATTTCATTTTATTCTGAAACTTTATACACTTTGTTTCATATCTTAATTTCCTTTTATTTTGTGCATCAGTTTAAGCAACAGTGGTGTTTTACCCAATTCTAACAGTCTTCACCTTGGCCATCTGAACTATAATTACTAGGAATAGTGGAGACAAAACTCACTGTTTCCATCTTGAGGATCATCCTCTGTCTCCATTAGACTCGTGTGCTCCTTGTGATCAATCTTACTAATGCACTTCTTCAGGGATGCCATGCTGCGCTTCTGCAGGGTCAAATACTCCTCCTTCAGTTCAAGCCACTCTCTCCTTTACGTGAACAAAAGAGGAAGAAAGATGCCCAGTAGTGTGTTAAAATCATTGTAGATCTGAATGGATATTCCCTTATTTCTGAAATATTGATGATGTCACTTTAAAAGGGGATGTAAGATTTTACTTTGATAGAACTCGTAGTGGGATGACCTCCTCTCCAATTTTCAGCTTCTCCTTGTGTTTCTTTTTTCTCTTCCTCTTTGCTTTAACTGTCGAATCATCTCTGTTTTCTTTCCCTTCCTCAACACCTCTGTCTGTGTCACTCTGAGTAGGTGGATCTGATAGAGGAATAACACAATAACAACAAGCCTGTGGTTTCATTGCTGCAAGAACACCTCATCATACTTTTTGTATTTTTAGATTGTGAAAAATAGACACAACCAGAGTGGAAAGTGACATTGTGATCACTTACCAGTCTTTGCTTTCTCCTTTTCTCCAAGTTCACCATCGCTGGTTTTTCTTATCTTAGCTGGTACATCACTGTCTGATCCCTCTACCGTCTGTGACCGTCGTCTTTTTTTCTCTGACAATTTCCCAGGTGTCTTCTGAGCGCTGGCGACATCTGGTTCAAAATCACCTGCTGCTGAGTGCTTCCTCTTTTCCTCTGATGGTTCTGCTTCCATCGCCTGCTCTTTGGTTTCTTCTGCAGGCGTTGGTAGTGTGGCGCCATCTTTCTTTTTCTTCTTCTTTCTCTTTTTCTTTTCCTCTTCTTCACCTACAGTACATGAATGTCAAGAAGTGGAAATGATTTCAACAAATCGCACCAATAGCCTTATTTTTTATATTATGCTAGCATCAGGGACTCTAGCTGGCAGAGAGAAAAAGTGATGTTAAAAAAAAGGGGGCATCACTTTTTTGATTCTAATTGATTGTACCTGATGGAGGATTGTCAGATGTCAGTGGAATCGGCTTTCTACTTTTCGTCTTGGGGAAAATCCCTGGTTTCCTGGGAGCATCTTCAGGGGGGTTGTTCAACATCTGTTTCAAAAAGATCAAAATTTCCCCTGGGTTTTGTTTCTGCCAAAAATAAACACTGGACTGACAATTGTCACATGTTTCTGGCTATGGTGAAATATTCATAAGTTTTCACCTCTATGGCTTTCTGTGCTTGTTCCTCTTTCTCAAACTCAACAAACGCAAAACCCTTGGAATCACCAGAAGACTTGTATCTGGGGATGCTAACATACACCACATTCCCACATTTTGTGAACACTCTGTCTATCCAGCTGTGGGTCACATCCTTAGGCAAAAGTTCCTTGTAAAAAAAAAAAAAAAAAGAAAGGAAGAAAGAATTGTATTATTTTGTGATCCAAAACTATTTTTCTGTCAGGCAGAACAGTAACCATCAAAATTGTGCGAGTCTCGCCACATAAAAGCGTTCAATGTAAACCTTTATAGATGCAAAATAAATTCAAATGGTGCATTCAGGTACAATGTGGAGCAAAGTTTTACTTAATAGGTCCAAATTTGACCACTGGGATGTTTCCCATTCTAAATATCCCCGTGAAAAGTAAACACTTTGAATAAAGGAAACAACAGAAAACATTTTTTTACCACATAGACTGTGCGGCTGTCTGTATCATTTGGTATATTTCCAATTGGAAACTGACGCCGTACTTTATTGCCTTCCAAGTTAACCTGAAACACAAAAATAGGAACATTTTTTGGAATTGTACATCAATTTGAACCTAACTTCCTAAATTATGCAAACATTGTGAAAGTAGGACAGTTATAAGGTGTTTTAAAAAAAAAAAGAAAGAAAAAGAAAAAAAAAGAAATCATTAAAAAAAAAAAAAAAATGACAGTACCTCAACTACAGATGAATTTTTCAGCGCCCTCGCAATCAGCTTGGTATCAGTTGTCAGCTTTTTCATTCGATTGAAGCTCGCCAACACAGATATATCAACATCTGAGACACATTAAACATGTTGTATTAGATGCTTTGTTCAATTCAAAATCTCATGACTTCATGTCAGCACTTGCATTAAAGGATAGCTTAAGATTTTTGTCTTAATACACGACTCACATATCATATCATACGTTGAGATTGTTATTGGTCACTGAAATCATTCCTCCTGTCCATACTGGCTGGCTTGTGGGCAGGTCTACTTCCATGTTGGTGTCCCACAAACAAACCTATGTAAGGCTGCCAGAACGTATCCGTCCACAGCAGCTCAGCAAGGAAATGCAAAGATGGTATTTTGCACTTGAAAGCCTTTCATTATGCAAGCATGAAAAAAGGAGTGATTTTAGGAACCAATTACTCTTTTAATGCACATATTGCATGTGAGTATTGTATTAAGATTCAGAGTAAATCCAAACCTATCTTTTAAAAAACTCAACAACAGATATGGATAAAGTGGTGCATCTGAGCTATTGATAGCCCCTTACATCCATCGTCCGACTCCTCTATGATTTTTCTCAGAAAGCGGTCCTTGTGAAGGTTGACGTCTCCGAACCAGAACTCCACCTGCTTCTTCACATCACCCAGCAGCTGTTTGACTCGAGACCGCTTCTTCTTTTCTGTCTCCTTGTTCTTACTGCTTGGCTCTGTGGCACCAGCATCATCAGTTCCTGTCTCTATGTCAATCATCCTGTGGGTGGGACTGAAACAAAGGTCAGAAACACATAATTATAGCACTGGAAACAGTAAACACTTAACTTGTGTCCATTTATTTTACTGGTGTTTTTATCTGATAGACAAATGGTAGTGTTTCTATTACTAACCCTAATTTACACAACGTTCAAATTCAAATTCACAGGTACTACTGGCACTATGAGGCATTCTTTTCCTTTCTAAAGAACACACAAGTCAAAGATGAACACGCCCCTTAAATATTGTATTAACGTTTTTACATTAAAAACAGCTTAAGCTTCATATTTAGCAGCTCTTAACGAAGTTAGCAGTGCATGCTTACCTAGCTAGTTCTCTTTTAGCCACTACTACCCTTAGCAAACTGCTGTCGAAGTTGGTACGTAAATTCGCGGGTCGTGACATTTTTAAAAATGCTGCAGTCATGCCCACTGCCTTTCAAAATCCGTCAAATCTACGCTTAAAATCCAAATGACATCAAAATTGAGAGAACTCACCCTATATGTGAAGAGGAAACAGTCCAGTTTGATGGTTAGCACGCACAAAAATAACATAAAACAGCAGCCTGCCGGCTACGTTTGGTCACACGTCGCAGAGTAAATTCGTCATACGACAGGGACAGCCCACAACTTCCGCTGATTTAGTCCAAAATAAAGTGCCAAAATAAAATATACGCGAACGTTATTTCAAAATAGTTTCAATATTTTATTGACAATTGTTCGCAATTTACAATAAGTCCGATCAAATTTTGTAAAAGTAGTACGTTACAAATATAGCAACGGAATACAATGCTCCTCACAAAAAGTAGATGCACTGATATTATAAAAAAAATAAATAGAAAAAAATCAATACCAAAATATTTACACGAATAAACGTTTTCAATAAATAACTTAATTTTCGAATAATGTAAATGGTTTAACATTTGATCCAGTGTCTCGTTTAACATCAAAAATGTTAACTTGCATGTGACATAATTTGAGCTTTGAGAAGTAACACTACATCCGGGCACTGTTAGCGCTTTCCTAGTTATATTTAGCTGCACGGACAGAGGAGGGAGAGGAACTTTAAATAGAAGGAGGAACTGAAAAAAAACAAGTCGTCAAACACGGTGTATTGTTTCGTTATTGTATCATACAAACAACATCATCCATAACAATAAGTGGAAGTGAGGAGTTGTGTACGCAAGATTTTGAAGGTGTCCTATTGATGTTATATATATGGCCGGTTAGCTCAGTTGGTTAGAGCGTGGTGCTAATAACGCCAAGGTCGCGGGTTCGATCCCCGTACGGGCCACTAATTGTTTTTGACCCTCTTAATACACACCTGCTACAGATATCGTCATGACTCGCTTAACTGACTTTTTCTGCTGTTCGTTATGCATCACTATGGAGACAAAAACATTACTCAATTTAGTGTGTAGGGCTGTAACTCTGTATAGCTACAGCCACTTTAACAACAGTTATGTTTCCAGAGATTGTAGTGTAAATGCACAATTTATATGCATCCAAGCAAGTTTTTGAGAAGAAACCTTTTTTTTTTCCGAGGTCAGGGTGGGTATGATTTTTGTACATTAAGCATGAGGAAGATTATTTCTGCATTAAGTATGCTCTGGGAGTTGTTTCCTTTTGTCATTGTTTTCTCAAGGCATTCAGCATTAAACAGACATTTAATCTACATATATAACCATACAACTGGAGGTGAGTGTAGATTTTTCTCTGTCAGGGGTTCAAAACATCCTCAAACTTTCTGAGCTTCTTGCATATGTCATCCTCAGTGCAGAACTCAATCCTGCACTTGATGAGCTGTGATAGTTGCTTGTAGAAGGTCTTTGCCCAGTGGGTTTCTAAGCAATGGACCGACACCTTGCACACTTTATGGAGTACCATCACTAGTTTCTCGTTGCTGCTGACCTCACACCGTTTGATGACCCATTCCCCCCACGCCTCCCACATATCGTCATCTGTGAAGTTGACACTAATGCTTTCTTGGGTGTACCCGGATTCTGGCAGGTCATTCCAGATGGCGCTGTACAGAGAGGGAATCAACAGAAGCTTCAGAAAAACCTAAACTGTTGAAATGTGGTTTGAATTGTTTGTTGGAAGAAAAAAAAAAACTCACACAACTTTTTCCAGAGGATATGGGGTCAAGTCAGTGAGTGAGAGCAGACCTCTGGAGCTCACTTGGTTTCCCTCCATCCTGTGAGAGAACATAGGTTAACGTTACAGTAATATGTCCTGAACAATTTTTAAAAAAATGTTTTACACCGGAACAATCACCAAACCATGAAATGTGAAACTATGTTCACCACCTGCTTCGCCTGTGAACTTAAGTGCTGATAGAAAAAGGATAGATAATTAGCTATAATTGGTATTCAATCAATAACTTTTTTTTTTAATTAATTTCTTTTTCCCAGAGACATAATGTTCAGTGCTGACTTAATTCTAAGATTTTCATTCATTGAGGTTCTCTGATACATCTATGTTTAATAGTTTAGTTAGTCCTCACCACAAAGCCTTAAATCACTACTCAAAAAAGCAATGAAGAATGAGAGACCATGGTTACAGAACATTTCAAAGGAAAAAAAAATCTATTCTGTGGCTTACTGGAGGAAAGTTTACCAAACAGTAAATTTACTGGATTGGGTATAAAAGTTGCCTTTGGAACAGTTGGCAAAAATAATAGAATTGTATGTTATACATCATTTTGTCCTTGTCAACTTTTAAATTATTGAAATATTAAATTGTTGATGATTCAGACAATCATGACCATTGGGGTGAACATGCTTGAATTTCCCCAAAATATTTAAGTGACATACTGTTCTCGTGTGTCTCTTACCACAATTCTGCAAGCTTTTTTTGAATCCGTATGGCAGTAGAAATAACCAGTAGTTCATCATCACCAAGGTTTGACCATCCAATTCTAAAATGGAGAACAGAAAGTGTGACACATTCTGGGTGATTTTTTCTTAGACTAAAATTAACATATGCTCTTAAGAAATGGATGGCTATATACTTCATTTGTCAAGTATTACGTGGATTCTTTTCATAACCAAAGAATAATATCAATAGATATCTTACCCTAGGTGGGTTATAGTGTCCGACACTTTCAGCACATCAGCAATGACCTGAACTGTGTCCATGTCCAGGTTGTTTTCTCCAAGCCTTGAAAGTGAAATAGTGATGTTAGTGCACAAGTCATGTATTACATATTTCGTAGTCTGATGATGTCATCACTTCTAAATCATTTCATAAAAAGAGGAGAAGACAGATGCAGTTGGCTGTGATTTGATGCATTCAGTGCAGGACGTGTAACCAACAAAGAGCTGCACAGACTCAGAAATAAGACAAAGAAAACTTGCAAGATAGGTGAGATCAGAGAATGAAATGATGTCAACCAAATTTTTATCTGGAACTCACCAAAGTCTCTCACATCTTTGCAACAGGGGCTGAATATCTCTAAGTGCCTCACAGCTTACTCCGGTCCCTGTCAGATCCAGCTCTGATATTTTGCCCTTTGTGAGGTTTAGGAAGTACTTGATGGCATTGTAATCCATTTGGGAAAGTGTTTCATCACTAACGTTAACTCGTATCAACTTTGGTTGCATGGCAAGGACTAATGAGGGGTCCTGCTGCTCAAACAGACAGTGTAAATGATTCAGGATATTTTCCCCATCTTCACAGAGCACTGCAAGTTCTCTGATGATCCTCTGGCGATAGTTGTCCATCTTTTCTTTGTGGTAACGCAGCCCCAACTGCCTTGACAGAAGATTGGCATTGCGTTCGGAGAGGATTCCAGACAGGAAGCGGTTGAAAAGGTCCAAATAGCCATTGTTTGTTCTCTCTCCAGGACTTGCAGTGTGCTGAAGTGCATCAGGTAAAGGGTGATCGGTCATTGCACAGTAAACTGCAGCAAAGAACTCTTGAACAGTGAGGTGTGCAAAGGAGTAAACCTCTTCAGTACAGCCGGGCTCTTGTGCTACTGTCTTGTCTAGGAAGGTACTAACCAGGCTGCATCCCTCTAATGCTGCAACATCTCTGTCGCTGCTGTAGAATAGTGTTTGATGCTCCATCAGCTTTTGGAAGGCGAGTTGACCCAGCTTTAGCACTATGTCAGACAGCTGCTGTACACCCCCTGCTCTTTGCTCTTGAAGAAATGTTTCAGCCCTTGACTGAGTGTGAGAGCGAATCAAAGCCACCAGATACTGCACATAAATATCTGTCATGGTTTTGGGGCTGTCTCCACAGAGATCTTGGCTTTCTTTGAGGATACAGCACACAATGTAGCAAAATGCAGGTATGTAGCACAGTGTTAACATCAGTTCATTTGCTGATACCACTGCGAACAGTCGGTCACCAAGGGCACTGTCTTGGAAATAACGTAAGAAGAAGTCTTGAACTTCAGCCAAGGAGAAACCAGCGATGAGCACAAAGCGGTCGATGCAGCCCACAGGGACGTGGTTGATAGCTGCAGGTCGACTTGTGAGCATGACAGAGGCATTGGGCAGCAATTCACCCTGCATCAGACTCCCTAAGACCTCCACCACCTCTGCATCTTCGTCTGGCTCGGTCACGAAAACATCTACATCACAGCTCCTATAGTGTCTGAACTCATCAAAGCCGTCCAAGATAATCAACAGTTTGTTGTCATTGGCTAAAATGTTATCCAGTACTTTAGAAAGGTGTCTGTTCTTTCGCAAGACCAACTCCCGGAAGTTTGTGGGTTTGTCGATCAGATTCAGGTCTCTAAAGCTCATGTGGATGATGAAGTCAAAGGCTAGATGGTTCTTGTTTCCACCAAAATCAAACAGCATCTTCTGCACCAGGATAGTTTTCCCAATACCAGCCACCCCTGTAACCAGAACCTTCTTGACTGGACGATTACCATTTGCGCTTGAAAAGAGTTCAGCTGGTGCAATTTTCCTGTGTACAGTCGACTTCTGCTGCAAAGATAGTCGCTTTTGTCCAAACGTCAGCACCTCGTGTCTTTTTATCTCCAAGCCCTGGTGTCCATCGACTAACAGGAGATTGACATAATGTTCGGAAAAAAGGATTTTCTCTCCGTGACGAGTGTTGTAGAATAACATGCTCTCACTCCTGCGCCTGAGGACATCTTTGTGCTTTTGTTTGATTTTGCTGTACTCTGCAAGAGAAAAGAAACTTAATATAATTGTAACCTGTGAACTAAGGGTGTCAGTATTGATGAAAACCATAATATTCAAAAAATGAAATATTTTTGTAGGTTTTTGTGCTCTCCCTCCACCTTCCTACACTAGTATTTTAGTCTACTGCCAAAAAAAACAGACAATAAACAAATTAACAGATGAATTTGACTGATTGTTGACTGGTAATTATTCTACTTTCTAATTATATCTTGATAATATTGTTATCTTGAAAATCTGAGACCGTGACTGCCCTAGTAAAAACATTTGATGGTGCTACATAAAATGCTGTGTATGTTCATATGATCATCACAATGCATTTCCAAATACATACTGTGACTCAGCATTATTTTAACTCCAAATGTAAATGTACTAATAACATGTCTTTGGTTTGACTACATACCTGCAGACTGCTGATGCTGATC